TGGCCGGTGCTTTGTGCGGAAAAACCGTGGCAGCAAAGTCCGGGTGGTCTCAATCAGACGATGGTTTCCCTGCACATAAGCAAGCCTCGGGACGGAGATTGAAATGGAAGCCACCCTTGCCTTCAAGAAAGTGCTTGCCGCACAAACGGTCGTCCTCGCAAGGCGACCATTCTTTTCGATCCACGGATATCACCCAACTTCTGCGCCTTTCAGAGCACGCTGGGTACTTGTGGAAACTCGCTCCGCTACTTTTGCTGTACTTTTCGGTGCAATTAACGGCTACACAGCTGAAATGCTATGACACCCATGCAAAACGTGTGCCCTTCTGTCCTCACCTCCAGGCTCTGGCGCGATCATAGTGCCACCGCAGCTTCGTGAGGTCAAGCCCGCGTGTCGGTCTATACCGTGTTGCAGGTTAGGAAAAGCAGGACAACTCCTCCCGCGAAGCCCTCCAGTTTTGCAAACTCTGGGGAGGAGGCAAAGAAGGACTCACATCCTCGCCAGTGTGGAGGGCTTAACAGGAGGAGCCCGTTCTGCTTTTCTTAAAGGGCAAGTCCGCTCAATTTAAAAAATTTTGGGTTAATGAATGATTTCCCATTAAAAATCCCTAGTAAAAGAAACTACGTCATTTGCTTCACAAAAAAGTGGACACGAGCAGAAACCGAAACTTCGATTACGTCTGGCATCATTGGCCTCGGGTCACCAAGAAAATGGCTATCACGTGGTACAAGATGTCACATGATCCTTTGCGCAACGTCGAGTGGGATTGGGGCGGGCGTGTGCCAGGCGTAAGTGTCGTCTGCACCACAGTCTTCACCACGTTTTGGTGTCTACGACATTCGACGACGTCTGCACAACTGCGGCGTTAGTCTGCGCACATGGTGTCGGTGATGTGGACGAAACTCCGAGACAATAATCACAAACGGTGAGACGACGACGGCGGTTGTGAAGCGGGAGACTGTAGGACGATGGTGGATGGTCATGGTCCCACCAAACCGTTGTTTGGGAGCTGTTGCTTTTGCCATTTCTTTAATGGTTGTGTCCACCGAATGCTTCCGGCAGCATGAGTTTTCTCGCTAGACTTTCATGGTGTAGTGCCTGCAGCTGATGTGGGGATCTGTTCATGCTGTGCCAAAAGAACAAGAAAGGAGGCCGTGTCAAAATTAAATCATTGCTGTGCTGGTTATGAGACAATGTTGTCCTTGTCCCCTTATATCAAGGTTTTTTGTACTGCACTCTAAAAAAGCCCGTGCGTCTACTTTCCTGCACAAAACTCTGAGAGCCAATCACCACAGCTTAGGGAGGCAGCTCAGCGAATGACGATACCGAAACGCATGTTTAGACCAAAAAACGCTGTCCAAGTTGTGACATTAGGCAATGCAAAACGTCAGGCTTGCATTGCTTAATGTCACAACTCGGGCTGCGTTTTTTGGTCTAAACATGTGTTTCGGCATCGGCATTCGCTGAGCTGCCTCCCTAAGTTGCGGTGATTGGTCCTCCGAGTGTTGTGCGGGAAAGTAGACGCACGGGCTTCTTCTAAAGTGTATGATTGGTCACCAGCTTGCCTGCGTCTCCACTCTAATTTCTTTGTTATTGGCATCATTATCAATGTTCATGAAACACAGATGCATGGCGAGTGGCTCCATAGATGACAGAACTCAATAGGGTTGACCGAGGACATATATGGCCCTCATAAGCCCGTGCTTATCATGCACTAAATTGACTTGTATTGAATAGTTTATGAAAACACTGTGAGCTAATGAAGGAATCCCACCACTTCCTCTTCCAGATACCAGTCCTCCACGGCCTGCATCTGCTCCCATATTAACTGACCTCCTGAGGACAACAGACAAGGATGATTTCGACAGCTTCGTTGATGACCTCAGAGAAATATTCACAGATGATATAATTGATAGCGTGGAGAAGAGTACTCGAGCGCAGTCATCCTCTCGCGACTGGTACTTGCACAGGAGAGCCAGAGTGACAAGCACAGTGTGCCACTCCTTTAAAACAAGAGCTAAGGACATAGACGATGAGCCAAGGCCGCATGGCATGAGAGGCCTTCTTAGTGCTATTTCGTGCATGAGCACCGTTCAGACCCCAGCCATGAAAGAAGGGAAGGACAAGGAACCAAAGGCCATTGCCCTCTACATGTCTCTCTTGACAGCTGATGGACACTGCCCTGTGCTTGAGAAGAGGGGATTTGTCATTTGGAAGGATTTTCCAGTGATGGGGTGCTCACCAGATGGTGTTGTGAGTTTTGACTGTGAGTGTTGTACAGAAAAACTAGTTCTGCTCGAGGTTAAGTGTCCAGCCAACCTAAAAAACTCATTTTCTGGGTGTCGACCGAAACCACTGTATATGACACAGGTCCAGGTGGCAATGGGTATTTTAAACATTTCATCATGCGACTTTTTTGTTTACAGATCATTAACCGAGTGGAGACAAGTGACTGTTGAGTTCGATCCAAAGTACTTCAACACATGTGTCCATTCTGTACACAAATTGTACTCTGAATACCTCTTTCTTTCCCTTCGAAGCGACTTGCAATCTATGGGCCGACCTTTCACTGCTTAAGCATACTCATGTTGAACATTACCTAGATTTATGACTTTTTATCGATATGTTGCTGTTGAATCTTCTCTTTATTTGCTTTCGGGGTCTACTGCTTATCGAGGTGTCGTCCTGTGGCAAGGAGGGGTGTAGTGTGGGTATTGATGTCGCTGACCTGCAATAAGGCAGAGCTAGCCTCCTTTTTAGGCGGGCCTTGGTGAGCTTGGTGAACGCCGAGAGTAAGAAACGGTCACTGGCCCTCTTTAGTCCAAAGTGTGATGTTGTCAGCATAGATGGTTGAACCTAGGACTTCTCTTCATCTGAGTATTGCAGGTAGCCTGGCATTAACCATGTTGAACAAGGTGAGGATATGGCTGCCCATGTGGTACACCTCGACCATTTGCTGTGCCTGGACCCAACGTCGGTCCCACCCTTACTACGAACGTGTTTTTTTTTTGACAAATTGTTCCTGTGAAATTACTTGTAAGCCTTGTCAGCTGTGGCATCTATCCAGGGACATGTCTGCCATTAGGAATGTTTATGCTAAGTCACCTTTCAACCTGTTCTTTCTCCCTTGCACTTCCTTCAGCTGCATTTTAGTGCAGTCAGCATGCGAAATGTGACAGATGAAATGTGCTCATCCTTGTAAATGCAAATAAAAGTATACCTGATTTGCATTTGTATATAGTATTCCTGTAGACTCATCTGGTTTTATTTAGCAATAAAAAAGCAATACACCGTTTAAACAATGCTAAAAATAAACACTGTCTGCCAATTTTCTTAAATAAAGCACAATTGTAAGTGAGCCCGCCTAGCTTTCAAAGCAGCTTTGTAGCACGTGCACATATCAAGCAGCCTCTTTCGAATACGAGATGATGTATTTCAAAGCCATAAAACAAATGCTAAAGGAAAGTGGGCAATAATGAGCTTACAAATCACATCTGAACTGCTTTATTAGACAGAATCTTTTCTCAGAATAAAAGTGAAGATATATACATATATACACAAAACAACAGGGGAAACATTTTGCAAAATATGTCTTTTCAGCTGCACCCACACTTTGGGAAGCACTGGCATATTGTCCAAAAACAGTACACAATAAATGCATCGAAGGCTCCAAGGATGAGACCATAGCTTGGAGACTGCACCTATTTCACAAGTACCCATGTGATTAAGGCATTACTGGATGCCATGGCTTATGCATTGTATCGTTACTGTGTGCTCTCTTTAGAACATAGTGCAACATGCTTAAAGGGCAACTCTGCTCAAGCTGATCCACTGAAAAAAACAGATTACTTCAATGGTGTCAGTTAAAGTTGTTGTTGTTGTTGTTCCTCCCGGTGGTGTGGGAGGCAGGTTCCGCTCCGAAGGTCTGGAGCGTGGTGACACGAACGTCACTGAGTGACAGGTCGACTCACTGATTGAATAGAACTATGTGCATTTATTTACACTCTAGTTACAAGTCCCAACTTGGGAAACCATCCTTCCTCGTCTAAAGTTTCGACCCCCGTCCCCAATTTCTCTCCATCAAATCCCAAGTCCGAATCCCTCAAAATCCTCTCCGCGCTCTTTTTGTAGGCCCGTAGGGGCCTCCTTTCCCCTCAGGAACCGACCAATCTCTTCGAATTCCGCCACTCACACGTGGTACACTGTTCTCCAATGGTCGGCGAGCTGTCATCCTGTCGCCCCAACTGCCAAACCTAAATTCCTTGTAGTGTTGTTCTCTGCAAATTTCCCAGTCTGACTGGTGCCAACCGCTAAATTATTGCATCGGGCAAAAAGGTCAATTTTACACTAAGCGGCAAAACCCTCTGCATACACACACATTTGGTTATAAGCCACAAGCATCTTCCAACGCGGGCTCTTTCGGTCCGGGTCCAAGCAGACTCCCGAAACCCGGGACGCTTCTTAACGACCGCGGGGGACGGCTCCCGCATTCCAACCGCTCTGGCCCCGCCGACACAAACATAGAAAGCTTAAAAAAAAAGAAATGCCGACTGAACTCTGGAAAGTTCTAACAAAAGAAAACACGTTCATAAATAAGCATGATTTCTATATACCCAAATAAATGCATAGTTCTATTCAATCAGTGAGTCGACTTGTCACTCAGCGACGTTCGTGTCACCACGCTCCAGACCTTCGGAGCAGAACCTGCCTCCCACACCACCGGGAGGAACAACAACAACTTTAACTGTGTCCTAAAGGCCAGAATTAAAATATGCAATTATGTGCAACAGAACTAAACTTGTGTGCCTCTTGAGCCCTGGCAGCTGCTCAATGCCATAGCTGTCGCGGCACTACAGTTGCAGTTATAACTACCTCAACGAGTAAAACATTTTTTGCCTCAAATATAATTTACGCAAGATGAGAAAGCCACAGTTGCTGATGAAAAATTGCCGATTACCAGGACATGTATCAAATCAAACAGAGTTGCCCTTTATCATGTTTCACTCATCTGTTTCTGCACCCTGTGGCTCCTTAATCAGAGCAGGCTGCAGGTTGCAGAGCCCAGCAACAGTAACAAGAATGTCGTCAATTTTGTTTTGCTTTGCTAAATATGACGAGGGCACATGGTTCAGTATGCGAAAGCATTTCATCCGACGGATTGACCTTTCCACATGTATTCGCAACTTGGCCAGTCTACGAGACACCACCACGTCGCGTGCTGCCAGCTGCTTCCCCTTCGTGAATGAGGGCAGAGCGAGTTCTACCCCGATCGGCAGAATGTCGGTGATGGTAAAACCCCTGTCTGCCAGGACTTCGTCTCCATACTCCAGATAGTCGAGGAGTCCGGAGTTGGCCGTTATGTAGCGGTCACTGGCGCGCCCACCGTAGGCCTTAGAAATAAACATAACAAATCCATTCGGTGCCACTGCGTGGAGCACCTGGACGGTGTTGTGGCTCTTATAAAAGCTAAACATCTTTCCCCTCCTCAGGAGGTTCTGTGGCCGGTCTGAAAAAATTTCAAAACAGTCAATGATGCACGTCGTGCGAGGCATATCCCTAAAAACATCAGGCAGTGACATTCTGATTGTCTCAGTGGACAACCAAAACATCAGGTATTTCCTCGTAAGCTGTGCCAGGTGTGGGATCCAAAACGAAAAAATACGGCTGACGGAAGCAGTGGAAATCTGAAAACAAAATGCCAAGTCTGCAATTAGCAACCCCATGCGAAGCCGCATCAATGTCAGTAGAATCTGGTCCTCAACAGACATGACAAATGAGGCTTTAGCGAGAGATGTCGCCAGTGTCACATACTCATAAAAAACAGGCTTCGATAACCCAGTAAAAAAGCGAAACTGACTATCAGGGATCGCCTCGTGCATTGTTGAAGTCGTTTGACTGGCCCCTTCCGTGACTTTCGGTGGCATGGCCACAACTGTCGAGCTGTAGCTATGATCAGGGGCAGTTTTCTCATACTGTACTCCTTGCTCTTTAGTTTTTTTCTTCTTACAGTCGCACCCGCAGTTGGAGCACACGGTCTCTGTGTGGCGAAGCACGCTGTAGGTCAGCGATGATGCAGCAGGTTGGGGTCTGTGGCAATGCTTGCGTCCTCCGGGTCAGCTGGCAGTTGTGTATCAGGGGACACAATGCCATCTTGGTTCACTGCGAGACTGGACGAAGGTCCTGCAGTGGGTTGAGTGCCTTGAGACGGATAATTCACCTTCCTCCTGCCCTTGTGCAGCACCCTCTGGACAGAAAATTACAGACAGTCAGAAAAACACACATTTATTGCTGTATGACACAACACCAGGTAGTTTGGTGGAGAATGTTATGCCTACCTTGTTTTCCTTTCCAAGGTGTTGAGTTGGATAGGGGTTCATAAGAGTTGGCCTTCCATCGGGGAAGTGGATGGAGCAGACCTGAAACAAAAATAAACAAACTGATTACAGATGCACATGAGAGGCAATGCTTGCATTAAGTCAATCTTTATTTTTTCCTTCAATAAAAATAGTGAATACATGTTCCATCTGCAACAATCCTCCTAAAATCATTCAGGTATGCATTTAGTGGTTTGAAATCCCAACTGAATATACAGGATTCAAATGTAAAGCACGAGTTGTGAAAGCTGCAATCCGTGTGAATAGTGCTACATTGCCTTGGACCTCCAGGCATACCTCGGCAAACCTCACTCATGAGGGCCCTCACTCCCTCACTCATTCTCATCTTCACAGGTGAGGTGAGGGTGAGTGAGTTTCTTAACCAGGAAAATTCATGAGTGAGGGTGAGTGAGGGCCGTGGGGGCTGTGAGTGTCGTGAGGGCCATGAGTGCGTAAGGGGCGTGAGGGCTATGAGGGCGGTAAGTGCGTGAGGGGTGTGAGGGCCATGAGTGGCGTGAGGGCAGTGAGTGAGTGAGTGGCATGAGGACCATGAGTGTGCGAGGGCGGTGTGTGAGGGGTATGAGGGTGTGAGGGGCGTGAGGCCACTTTCAGACGGAGCAACTTGTTGTTCCCTAGCTTTCCCTAGATCGATACAAATTGCTGAGATCGGGTCCGGCTCGAAACAAGCGAGCAACTCGGAGCAATTTGAAGACGTTTGAAGCGGCTGCATCCTATCAGGGACGCAATATTTTCATGTGACACTGCGTGTTGGTGACGATGTCAACAAAAGACTTGGTTCTGGTTTGAAAAGCAATCGTTTTTGGAACTAAACTGTTTCAGAAAGATGTATTAGTATTCTCAACGAGATTTAAATGCATAAAAACATGTTTATAGCGTGTAATTGTGTGTCTAAATAGTGCAAGAAAAATAAAATTTCATGGTGATGATGGCAAATTGCAGCAATTGGTTGCTGCGTGTAAACGCGGGCGGCCCGTGTTGCAACGTCAAGTTTCTGGGCGAAATTGCCCCGTCTGAAGCAGGCCTCAGTGGCGTGAGGGCGGTGAGTGCATGCGGCCCATAAGGGCGTGAGGGCCGTGAGGGCGGCAAGGGGCCTGAGGAGAATGAGGGCGTGAGGGGAATGAGGGCGGTGAGTGCGTGGAAAGGTATGAGTGCCCGAGGGCGGTGAGTGGCGTGAGGGGTAGAGTGCGTGAGGGCGGTGAGGGGCGTGAGTGGAATGAGTGTGTGAGGGTGGTGAGTGCGTGAGGACGGTGAGTGGGTGGGGGGTATGAGGCCGGTGAGGGCCGTGAGGGTGACTGCAAGGATGAGGGTGAGTGAGGGGCTGAAGCTGAGTGTAGCTGTGAGGGTGAGGGTGATTGAGGGCAACCTAAAATGCCGACCTCTGCCTCCAGGTGGGTAGCAAAGTATGAAGACATCATTGCTGCAATGGGTTAGTTTAGCGTCGCACAAAGTTATATGAGCATGTTTGCATGAAATGCAGTGTCAGTGAGGTGATTACATTGTTCGAGTCATTTTAAAGCACATTTTGAAGCAATAAAAACTTTCTGAAAAACAAACATTTCACTTTCATTTATTTCGATGAGAATCAAATACATCATGTGTTGATACTGTACACTTCTTTGCCTTCCCACTTGTGTGCAGCTACTTGTAGTATGCAGTGCAAAGGACAATTAAACTAGAAAGGTCGATTAATTATGGTCATTAATGACATTTTACATGTAGAATTTGATGGGTACGTAAAATCAGCATGTGTTTGGCAAATATGCCTTAAAAAAGAAACAGCTGATCAAATTAAAATTACTCCCAAGCTTTCACCTACCTGCAAAGTTAGCCTAGTTTTTTTTTTTAATATTTTGTTGACTTTCTCAAACAGTGGGAACCAACCTACTAAAGCCTCCTTTATTAAATCTCGAATTTAAAAACAAAACACGACATGATGCAGGCCATATCAGCATTCGCCAAAGTATGCTTTTTTTTCCCATACCGACGCGCGCTTGTGCCCATCATCCCGCTCTGGAGGAGTTTTCCCTCACGAGACTACCCTGCTCGAAGCGAGATGCGCTGAACCGCGATGTCTACCCCGCGAGCACGGCGAGCACCGCCGGTGAAGGTCCTCTGCAATGACGCCAACGAGAGAAAAAAAAAATAAAAAAAATGAGCGAGGGATCAAGTGTTCGTGCTAAGGCAGACAAGCAGCGTCTTACGTGCTGCAATAATCTTTACAAATGCGCGTAAAGCACGTACCAGACTAGGCATAGCGTCCGCGATCACGCGACGCAGCAGGTACCGGCGGTACCGGCGGAGTTCGCGGCGTAGACATTGCCGGTTCTGCGCATCTCGCTTCGAGCAGGGCACATTGTCCGCGATCACGCGACGCAGCCGTACTTTCGATGTAACGGTACTTACCACTGCGCTTTTCCCAGGATTAAAGTTTTTTCTCTCCATGTTCGCCAACCACTGACGACGGCGTTCTTCGTTCTTTACGCTGGGGAACCGGTGTAGCGAAAATGGCACCAAACACGGACAGTCCATGTGCGCTAGCGGGGCATGTTTGGTGCACACAGCGTGATTCCATGCACTCATATCTCCACTGCAGTTTTTGCAGCCTACAACCGAGCAGGTCTTGCCTGCCGGCCGCTGTTTACGCGTTCCATCGCCGTCCCCCATCGCAAGCTAACGGTCGCAAACGATGTACTCCGTAGCAGGCGCGATCAGATCTGAAGGGCAGCTATGGCGGCCTGGTTCAGCGCCCGCTGGTGGCGGCTCGAGTAACTGACTGCTGTAAAGCGTCTATACTGATGTCATCTGTCTCAAACATGGAATGATACCACATGCCTCTCCCGCCGAATATAAAGAGTTGTTATGAGGAGTGCGTAACAGCATTTAGGATGAACGTTGAAGCTGCGAAAAACAGTGCAGGAGCGAGAAGGTTTGCGCTGTTGTCACAAGTCGTCATCTCTCTCCTGACCCTTCCAATGTCAAATGTGGCTGCGGAGCGTGTCTTCAGTCAGGTGTCTCTGACGAAAACAAACTTCCGCAACAGGATGTCTCAAGAAACCCTGGAGAGAATCCTTAATCTGAAGTTTTTTTCTTTGTGAGAAAAGAATGTTACAGTCATTTTAAGCCTTCCGAGAAATATTTCGCTCGGTTCATCTCTAGGCATTGTACGGAGCTAGCACGAGTGGGACAAGTGCTTTCTGATAATATTGTTCATAGCATGAGGCTGTCAAGACGTGTTCAACTAAGCTCTTTGTTATATTACTTGAAATAAAAATGTTTGTTTTCAAAGTAGCTTCTTCTGAGATTTCTACATTGGGGGCACATTTTAAAATAAAGAAAAATTCGGTAGGGCATGATTATCAACAGAAAAAAACGCTCACAAAATATTCATTAGAACAATTTGCGATTGGTTTCTTTTCAATAGCCCTGTTTCCTACTATCACCTTGGTAGCTCCTTTTTTACTTGATGTTAGTTGTCAACAAAACCTTTGTGGCGAATATTTAATAAAGTTTTGCATCTTAACATTAAAGAAGGAGAATTTCGATGCCTTTATTCTTGCTTTAAGTTCCGTACCTAGCGTCAGTATTTTGTACTCTAGTAACCCAATTCTTTTCCAACGCGCTTTTGTTCTACACCTGGTTAAGCGCCTTTTTTGATGGATTATGTCCCTAGTAACTCAATGACTATTTGGATTGCGCTTTTTTACTTTTATGAATGCACTCTAGTACAGTCCTTGTAAAATTAAGCCGCAGCTCGTCCACTCCAATCAGGGGGTTCCTAGCAAGGTCCTCAAATGTATCTTAGTTAAAGCTTTGTTGATCAATAATTAATTAGACATTAGCTTCCTTAAATCTTCTTCATTAAGATATTTCCGTTTTCTTAAGTTAGAGCCTCCAACGATAGTTCGAAGTGTACCATACTCTGATCTGAAATTCCCTTGTAAACCTTGAAATCGTATCTGTGACGTGAGAGGATCTGACTGAGGAATTTCAAATCTATTAGGGACCGTGATTCCCCTTGTACCCTAGTATGCTTTTTAACAACCTGTGTCAAGTTGTGTGAGAAGGCCAAATCCAGAAATTCTTCAGAGCACGACACTTCACTGTCCCCAGTTCCTAGTGTTGCCCAGCCTGTCCCATCGACATTGATATCTCCCATCAAAATAATTTTCTTAAAGCTTACTTTTAGGAAAAAAAAAACTGATTCAACTTCTTAAAATATTCAATACGCATTTGTGGTGAGGCGATACACTGCACCTACTATTAATTCACTGTTTTTCAACATGGTCCTTCACCAAACATTATCAAAACCTGGAGCACCTTCCATTTTGGGAGCGATCAGGGACGATATGACTATTAGGGCAACACCTCCTTCT